ATTTTTAAAACTGGCGCAAGAAATATAATTGAAAATTACAGGCCCATATCTATGATTTCTACTTTTTCAAAAGTTTTTGAAATGATATTACACAAGCATCTCCTCTTTAACTTCAGAAATGTAATTAGTGAATGTCCACATGGGTTTGTCAATGGTCGATCCACCGTTACAAATTTATGCGCTTTTACTCAGTTTGCCGCTGACTCACTTGATGCCAAATTCCAGGTAGATGTAGTCTACACTGATTATTCTTAGGCTTTTGATAGATTAAATAATGTAATTTTATTGGCAAAATTGAGTAATACATATTGGTCTTTCTAATACATTAGTTAAATTAATTGAGCCATATCTATCAAATAGATTACAGTGCGTTAAATATTGTGTACTCCAATCGATAAAAAGACATGTTCCCTCGGGGGCGTCTCAGGGTTCTGTACTGGACCCTCTTCTGTTTATTGTTTTATATAAATGACATTGTTAACAACATAAAATCAAACGTTTTAATATATGCTGATGATCTTAAGATTTATAAAAACATTCCAACCATAGAGGACTGCATCTTGTTGCAAAATGATTTAAATATATTTGATGAATATAGTAAATCTAACTTACTGCTAGTAAACTATAAGAAATGTAATATAATGACGATTACTAATGAGAGCAGACAAATTCAATTCGACTATAAATTAAACAACATGTGTCTTACTAGAGTGGATGCATTTAACGATTTAGGTATTCATTTTGGTTCCTAGAATCTCATCTCGTTCCTATCAATGCTTTTATCTTCCAACACCTCGCTTAAATATTGAAAAACATTCCCCAGCCAGGAGACGCCATCTCCGAGGATGACCGGAACAGCCGAAAAGGCTACTTCAAACGTAACGTCGTACGTTTAATGAAAAGTCGTACCATTTGTGACTCGGAGGGAAGTGTTGGAGCGCCAACGCTTGAGAATGAGAGTCTCGGTCAGGAGAACTGTAATTGACGTTCTAGAGCATTGCACTGACGTCCGCGAAAGTACCATCGCGCCATATTGCGCAGTCGTTCGATTACAGTTATTTGTTTCCTCAGATAGGGAACGTATTGAAAAAATTCAGCAAATATTCGTCAAATTTCTCCCTTTAAGAACCTTAAGAGCCGCATCTGCATTGTTTGCTCCTATTATGGTTTACTGTTACCTTAAAGTAGAAGCAATACTTTCATTTTTTTTTGCTGTAAATCTGTTATTTTATCTAGAAAGATTTTCACCGAACAAACTAACGGAAAATTTCGCCCATTGCGCGAATTATATCAACAGTGACGATCATTTCTCCTTCTCAAGCGTAAGGTAAGGAAGTATAGTAATCGAGTCCGTCTGTTTGTCGGCTGTCTGTACATCTGTCTGTGTCGATTTTTATTAGACAGATAATCTCCGAAACTATTATATAAAATTATACTAAAATAAATATAGATAATACCAGTAATAATGTAAGAAACTAAATAACAATCTACATATTTTTTAACACCCTATAAATGTGTTTTGACACTCGTAACTTTTTAATCTATAGTGATTTTTTTCATGTGAAAATATTCTGATCAACAATTTCAACACGTGTAGTGTGATACTAATAATAGAACAATGGGAGAAAAAACCCCAAAGGCGGATTCATAAACCCCAAGTATAAGAGTATGTTATTTTACAAAACTTAAATCCCACTTACTATGAAAAATTTTAAGGAGACGTCATCACACGGTTGGTGGAGATGATTGGGTAAATTTGGGTTGATGTTTTACCATCTATATGATATACTTGGCATACATATAAATTGACAAGAATCGGTACGGTAGTTTCTGTCTAATAAAAATCTAGACAAACGACAGATAGACAGACAGACGAAAACGGGTACTCTAGGGGCCGTCGATTGAGACAAACAACCCAAAGGAAAGGGAGAAACTGGAAATAGGTTACAAAGAAATAAAAAGAAGCACAAGAAATGACAAAAACATACATTGAAGAGCTAGAAAAAAGCAGAGGAAGCCTCATCTAGTTGCGATACAAAATAATTATGCAGAATATAAGAGCGATTTACAGGAAAGAAACACATACAAACAACAAGACTGATGGGAATAAAAGGAGAATTAGACAAAAATGAAGGAGGAATACGAAACAGATGGGTGGAATACTTTACAAAACTTTATAAAATTATGTAAATTAAGAATATCATGTAGAGTAGATGGTAGAAAGCTAACCAAAAATTTTACTAATCATTCCCCGAACAATTTGATGGCGTCATTTCAAAGAATTCTATTTTAAAATGATTTAAATGTTACATAACAATATACACCTATATTTGTAGTGTATAAATCCGTTTAATATAATATAACTAGAGCTGGGCGGCTGAAATATATTTATCCCCACTATCCGTTCTTGCTTTCCAATTATGTATTATTTTTGATAATTTACACAAATATTTTATTTTTAACGAGACAGATACTTAAAAATTATTACAATTATTATTACTATTATTATTTCGTGGATATGGATTATAAAAACAGCAACTGACGTTCAGTTAACATTATTTTTCTCATAATTTTCTTTACGTCACGTAACATCGGCTTGGAGACACTGGTCTGCTGTGGTAGGGGTCAATATGAAGCGCTTAAATTTCGTCCCCCTAGTTCACAGTCTTCCGCCTTAGTACGAGGACGTGGCTTAATTAATAATAATTTTACTCCTCTGTTTTGAGGAGACAAATTCATTCAAATCATACAAATTTCTATGTGACATTCTTTCGGTGTATAAACATAAACACTCGAAGTTAAGCATGTTATTATTAGCGAGAGGACCACTAAACAAAAAAACCAAATTTGATCATTTTTCAAACAAGCGGGATTTGTGAACTTGTACTTCAAGGACGAGGGAGGTTCTGTCGAAAAAAACTTCGACCAAATTTTTTAATTGTTATTTAGGTAGGTATATTGGTCATAAATGTTAAAAATAAGAATTAAATAAACTTTTTTATAATTATTATTTTTATTTGTATTAAATGAAAGAGTGACAATAATTAAATATTGCTAGAGTGGTGTAACTCAGTACCCAAGCGAAATAGGTAGTAGAATAAGTTAATTTTTTTCAACCGCAATAAATAATCTGAAATCTTGTAACTCATATCACTGAACTGAAGGATTTGTCCTATCAATAGCATGTAAAATCTAGTTAAATTTAATTATCGCTATTTGTAATCAGCGTTTTAATTACAAAATCTGATGTCTCAATATTATCCACCAATCCTTCCATTACGATGGATACCGCTCTCCCCCTAGGAGATTCGCTTAAAACGAGGTCCGACTCGACTTGATCAACATCATCTTGTTTAGAGAACATGATAAAATTACTTCATATTTTTGTATGAAGCCGTTTCTTGAGGAGCTTTCTCATCTTCGTAAGACGTGCCTATGAATTATAAAATCATTTTTAAAGCACAGTTTGAATCTTGGCAAACTTAGGTTGCAAAGCAGGAATTACTATAAATAAATAACGTCACTTTCAGCACTCAAGATTCAGTACTTAAGACACAGCTCTGATTTCAAACACTTATAGTAATTTCATATCTGTCGTAATAAAGTCCTCAAAATTTTTGTTAATAAACGCCTTTTAAATTTTATAAAATAATATTCTCCTATACTTATGGTTCATGAATCTGCCTTGCATCCAGATATTCCAAAAAAAAAATCCAAATTGCATTATCACATTTTGCATCAGAAGAACACCGAAATATTCAATGGCACAGCCTTGCGTTTTATCAATGCATCCATACTTTTGGAATAATTGACCGTTCACCCAATTTCCCTGTACTCCGCGCCGGACCAAATATAAACAACTTACCAGAGTGTATTTTCCTAATATATTGCGTACTAGCCAAGAAGAATATCACTCTCACACGTTTAAAGTTTTTTTTAAGCGATATTTACGATATTTTGACCCCAGTCTATAATTTCTTTGAAAGAAATGGGTCACTAAATTTTGGTCAAAGTTTTGCAAACTCCGCGTTAATTTAAAGGAATATTAAAAGCTCCAAAGCAGTTTTGTAGTTTGTAGATTATTTACCAAATAAATCGGTAATAGACAGGCCGGAACTAGGTAGACAGAGGGATTCCAAACCGACGATAAACAGAGGCGACGAGATATAAATAAGATACCCATAAAAACCTACATTCTTGTATACTACGAAATGCTAAACATCAATACAACATGATATTCGTTAAAATAACCCTATTATAAAATCAGTTTAGAAAAAATTCAGACTGTTATTTACTGTAAATGGAGGTAAAACATTTCATAAATTCATTCCAGTTGACGTTAATTGTAAGGATACTTTTTACAAACGAAAGTTCAAAAGTTTGTTGAACAATATTTTTATTTTTCACTAAGTTTAGAATTTGTGTACTATCCCAAGCAAAGTCATAGCGAAAATTTAAAATTGTAGTCCAAAAAAACACAGACCGCTGAAAATCCGTTTATATTTTGAAATGCTCACGTGGAATTAATAATTCATCATCTTTTTGAACTCTAATGTACATCGAAACGTTTGCGATCTGACGTACTTTACACCTACATTCAATAAATGTTTATATTTACATTATCTCCACACCTTTTGTTGAAAATCGTATTTACTCACCAACACACGAGCCCCTGCATTAACCTTTATAAACCAATTTTTAATTCATACCTAGCACCGAACCATACTCACAAAAACTCCTTCACCAATAACCGCCTTTCCGAGACCGCTCTCCGTTCATTCCTGGAGAAGTCGGGTGAACCGTTTGCCGGACAATTACGGATCTCCCACCGCCTCGTTCATAATTCAGCCTCGTGGAGGTCGAATCTCCGCTAGTCTCATACTTAATTCATCTCGTGCGACCGTCTTTATCGCCATGAAAATTCTCCACATATTTTGGGGTACTCATCTGTTTCATTAATAGTGACTTAACAGACCCCTTGACCGCCTTGTCTGTTGCAGACTCGGAACTCGAGGACTTGGAGACCCCGCCACGTTACCGACCGGACAGTCTGGAGGCCCTCTGCAAGGCTACGAGGTTCACCCAGGCGGAAATCAAAAGGATATATCGCGGGTTTAAGGCGGAGTGTCCGACAGGCGTCGTCAAAGAGGAGACGTTCAAGATGATTTATTCACAGTTCTTTCCACAAGGTGGTGAGTTGCACTGCACACTTTTTCAGTTTTCCAGCCTGTTGAGAACACTACTCATAAATTTTTTACACCGTCGACACGGCCGTTGCACCTCAAAGGCTCTCATATTGTCGAAGCTTTCACGCTGTAAAACAATTTGTGGATAACGTATGCCTCAGGCTGTCATCTGTCACCAAATAAAGGGTGAAGAAGTGGACGCAGAGATCGCAAATAGTGCATCCTTTAAAGTAGATTTTAATGTTTGCTCCAAGTTGCAGTCAGGTTTGTGAGCGGTTAAGTAGTGACTGGTGTATATACATACTAGTTATTAGTGATTTTAAGAATAGTTCAGTTTCTAGCGTGTTTGCGTGTGAAGCGTGTAGTACTAATTTGTGTCGTGGACCATTCATTAAACGAAAATCAGATATCGTATACACAATAAAACTGGTGTCCCATTTGATTATTTGACAGTGTGTACGCATCTGGGAGTGTGAGTCATATTATAAATATTCCATCACATAACGTAGTGTATGTTGCGTATCTTCGTCACAAAATCTTCATTCACACTTTAATTTAATTATTTTTAGAGGTGCATTCCCAGTTTTTACAGTCTATGTGATTGAAGCAAACGATTTACTTATGCTGAATGTTCTTCTCGCATACTAACTAGAATAATAACTATCAGCTGCACTTCTCGATGGAGTTTTAAAAATATTTTTTCTTCTAAAAATATACAAATTTTCAAACGCATGCAATTCACTCTGAGTTATGTACCATAAATTAACCGGTCAAAACCGAACGGTGCATTTTATTTTGTGTGGAAAAACTGATTTCGTGTATAATTTTTCTATAAAAAGCACTGTTTGTAAATTTTCAAAGAACAGGGAAAGTGCACAATGTAGGTTTAAATAAATCTGTAAAATTACGCCTGTGTTTAGTCTAACGTGCAATTAACAAAAAGCGACGTCGAGACCAGTTATTTTATGAAACTTGCACTTTAGATTGGAAAGCAATCTGCTAAATTAATATTTGCACACAGTCTGTGTTGATTTTCACTTCTCAAGCCAAACCTAAATATCGTAATGGAGCGTTTTGACAAATTTCGTGTTTTGTCGGAATTTCACAGGTCGTAAAACTACGAAAGTGGAGACTCTCTATTTTCGTTTGTGTTTAACGTTTACCTGTTGTGTATCGTCTGCCTGTCGTCTATTTATAGAAGAGTTCCTGAAGTTTTGAATCGATTGCTATGCAATTTTTTAAGTACATTAAGATTACAGTGCAACTGGTAAAAGTTAGCCAAAATTTGTTTATTCATCTCCTTCAAGAATTGTGTGACGTCATTTCAAACATTTTGAACTCAATATTAGTTTAAATATGCAACACACCACTAAAAATAAGTCTAGAGTAGTAAATTTTGCAATTTATTTCACACATTTCACAAAAAATTCCTCCAAGTTTGGTGAATGCAAAAATTGTTTGTTCGTCCCTTCCAAAAATTTATGAGTGATGACATCATTTCCAAACCAATGAGTCGTCATTAAACAGTGAAGTGCTGTTTAAACTTTATAAAATAACGTACCCCTGTACTTCTAGTTTTTGAATCTGCCTTGAACCTATCTTTATTCTAAGCATCCAAATTTTTGCAAGAAAAATCCAAATTGTACAAAATGATATACATTAATATAGCATCCATACGCGGCTCGGCTGTATTTTTGACAGTAAGCGCGCGTCCCTCCATCAAGTATTAGAAATATAAAAAAAAGTCAAAGACCAAAGTTGTAGGGTTCTTTGAGAAATTTCTAAATTTTAGAGAGTTCTAATAGTATATTAAAGAACGAGTTTCATAAGGTATATATTAAGGTAGCAATCCAAGTTTATAGAACGAGCGGCGAAGCCGCGAGTTATATAAAGGATGAGTGCCACAATGACCTTATGAACGAGTTATTTATATTATTTTTTCTACCGCGCACGTTTTTTCGCAAAATGAATCAATTCGAGTTAAAATTGGTTAAAATGTCTTGTGAAGAAGTCAGTGAAGTCCTTACGCCTCCCGAAATACGGGAAATTTTAATTTGACATTTGCCATTCTGACATCTCACATTCACCTGACATTTCTCATCATGGCTACCAATCTTACCGATCTAAATTACACCAGATCTATTTTAGAACCCCTTTCTGCTATTAACGAACTGCTATGACGTTATTTAGGTGCTTTAATAGCTCTATTAGAAAATAAAAAAAACGTGCGCGGTAGAAAAAATTATTTTTAACTACACCGAGTGTTTTGCTTATAAAGCGTAACGCAACTTAGATAAGGAAAGATACGGATTCTGTTGTGGTATAAATGAGGTTAAATTTTCATCTACAGGGTGTTTATAAAAAATGTTTTAATTATTACAATTTTCAAATTTCCATTTTTCAATTTGCTCAAACAGAAAACCTATATTTTACTTCTTTATCTTATTTTATTTTTCATTTTCTTTCTTTTTTGCTGAGAATTTTCTATATTTAAAGTTGATAGTTCTTGTTATTTTTTAGTTTTTTAAGTGACACATCACCATATTTGATGAATGAGGAAAAAACAATAGAGTAAGATACGATAATAAAATACCGTGTGTCCCATTTGAAAAAATTGAAAAATCGATATTTGAAAATTGTAAAGTTTTAGATTTTTTATAAACACTCTGTATATTAAAATTTTATTCAGACTGTAAAAGTAATATATTGCAATTTTTTCTGAACTCTTCCATTGCCACAAAATTTCAAGAAAATTTTCAACCAAAATCGAAGGTTAATCAAAGGTCAATCAAAACATGTAAAGATATATAGGGTCTTTCATTTATTTAAAGCAAACTAAGTTGTGTATTACGCTTTAAAAATAGAATAATCTGTATAATATAAACATCGTACAACTTTGGCCTTTGACTTTTTCTCTATCTCTATCTTTTCAACCTTAAATTTCATACACATTTTACACCCTTAAGGGATGAATATTGAAACGTTATGAAATATATGTTTCATTCTATATTCAGGTGCTGGATATTTCATCAATTTAATTACACTAAGCTGGGTGTTACATCTTATGAACAGAAGAATCTGTATAGTTATAAATAATTTTAGAGTATAGTCCTTAAAGAACCGTACAACTTTGGTTTGTGACTTTTTGTTAGAGAACTATACTCTAAAATTATTTATAATTATACGAATGGTTCTGTTTTTAAGGTGTAACACACAACTGAGTTTTTTTAATGAAACACACTATATATTTTGACATATTCTCATTAACCTCTTCCTAAGCCGTATATCTACATCTATTTTTGAAATTCCGATGCGAGGTTGCTACGTTATTTCAGTTTTCTTGATATTTTTATCATGGAAGGATTCACAAAAAAAAATGCAAAAGGTTATTTTAAATATGTCTTACAATATTTTGTGGAAAGATAAATAAAAGTACCTACACGCTTTGTTGTGGTTTCAATTAAATCTACTTTTATTACACAGAGTGTTTATAAAAAAAATTACAATTTTCTAATATCGATATTTTAGTTTTTTCAAATAGAACACCGTCCATTTTATTACTGCATTTTACTCTATTGTTTGTTCTCATCCTTCTAATATGTATATCGATGTCAAAAAAGGAAGAGAACGAAAAATAAAATAAGTAGAAGTTATAAAATATAGTATTCTATTGTGAAAAACTGAAATATCAATATTTGAAAATTTTAATAATTAATTTTTACTTCCCCAGCGTAAGCAAAGGAAATTGTAATCGAGTCCGTCGGCCGACTCTCTACTTTTGCATTTTCTCGTTTTATACATTGCATATCAAAGTTTAATTTCAATTATAACACTACAAAGCGCGCAATTTTATTTATTTCTCCACAAAATGTCGTAACACAGATATTAAAAATAACTCTATTGCGATTTTTGATGAACCTTTTCATTGTTAAAAAATTTCAAGAAAATTGGAATCACGTGGCAACGTCGCATTGGTATTTCGAAAATAAACTGTGGTTGTAAAGCCTGAGAAGAGGTCAATCAAAATATATGAAAATATATAGGATGTTTCATTTAAAAAAACGAAGTCGTGTGTTCCGCCTTAAAAACAAAACACTTTGGATATTTATCACAATATCAGCTACTTTCAAAATAATTTTCAGAACGTTTTGCTCCATTTTAGCTTAATTAATAATTTTAAACGCCTCCTCTCTTTTGAGGAGATAAAATGATTCAAGTCAGGCAACTTGCTACAGCTTTAATCGTCGTATTGCTTCTATGTATGAACATAAAAATCGAGATTAAGCATGTACTGATAATTGACCAGTACTTTTAACACTCCATAGATATCTTTACTTTAAGTTATAGAATTTGTCATAAAAAAAAAAATAAAATTACTATTTGTTCAATGTACTTCAGGCGGATGGGAGGTATGTAAAATAAGTAAATAAATAAAATAACAAAAATTAGGATGTTCCCAGAATCCGCTCTTTGTGAATATATTTTTTTGTTTGAAAAAAAAAAACAGAAAAATTGTAGATAGCGTCATCAAATTTTGGGAGAAAAAAAATCACTAAATTTGGTGACGCTATCTACAATTTTTGTGCGTAAATTGAATTCAAAATGTGCAAAGTAATTCGATTTTTTTCTTGTTTTTAATCATACCTATTGTGATGAGTTTTTCATTCAGGCGGAGCTTAATTGCAAAATTCATATTTGTTTACGAAAATTTACCATTTTAAACTTGTTTTAAGTTTCTTGTTAAGAAAAGATGACTACGTGTATTAAGAAAAAAAGCAAAACATAAGCCCCGCCCACCCACCCAATCTCAAATGTGACGAATTTTTTGTATTCGTCGTAAGCCGTGGGGTGGAGCTACACGTATTAAGTTAAAAAGAAAGCCAAAAATAAGCCGCCCCGATCTCAATCGTGATAAATTTTCTTGCAAAAATTTACAATTTTAAGCATGTTTTAAAATCTCATTTTGAAAGGACGACTACGCATAAGAAGAAAAAAGCAAAATATAA